CCAGCCGACGAAGAGAGCCGAGCCGAACTCGTACCTGCGGGGAGAGACAGGGGGAGCATCAGGGAGGGGGTGCAGAAAAGGCAGAGGTGCAAATTGTGATAGGCACAAGGATGCTGGAAGCCCTGACGAGGCTATGGGAGAGCTTGAGGCAGATGTTGGGTCTTCTTCTCTCCAGCCATCGCCGTGTTTCACATTGGCTGGATCCAGCTACTCAGTTTCTCCCCACTTTAATCCTCCCTTGGGCTGAAGCTCCATGAGAGCACTCCTACTCTGTCCCAGCACAAAGCCATTGGTGGCACCACCTAAAACTTCAGTACTGGGGAGATCTTCTGCCACATGGCAGCTGTGGGGGGGCGCAGGTCCCATTCCGGCTGCCTGGTGTGTCTACCTATGACCCCAAATGTTGCTGAAACCAGGAAGAGAAGGTCCTGTGGGAAGCACAGGAACAAGATGGGATTCAGATAAAGAGCATTCCCCAAGCCAGGCTCTCACCTGGCATTGATGGGGACAGTGCTCTTCCTGAAGAACTCGTAGGTCACCTGTGCTGCATACAAGGACACGGCGGCCAGTGTGCACAGACCTGGGCACAGAATCACAGAAAGGTTTGGGCGGGAAGGGACCTTCAAAGGTTGTCTTGTTCAACCCCCCTGCAATGAGCACAGACACCTTCAACCAGACATCAACCGTTGACCATCAAACGCTGACCATCAACCATTGACCATCAAATGCAGACAATCAGTCACCCCCAGCCCATCACCAAGCTCTCCCCTTCAGCCACCAAACAGCTCTCCAAAAGTGTTTGGGGTCTTCTGCATCACAGAGGTGCAAGGGCTGGGGCTGCCTTACCGGAGAGGAGGAAGAGGACACCACCAGCAACAGCAATGCGGCTCTTGGTAACGGGATCTTCTTCACCAACCTTGGTGCATTTCATGCCCACCACGCTCACGATGATGCCGAAGAAGCCCAGGAGGAGAGAAATCACCATGAGAGCCCGGGAGGTCTGGATGTGAACTGCAAGAGGTGGAGGGAAGAAAAGCCGCTGCCAGTCTGTGCTTTCGGCCACAGCTGCGCTGCTCTCAACAAGGTCACCTCGTCCCACGCTGGGGATGAACCTGCCCTTAACCCTGTCCTGGCTGCGTATTTCTTGTGTCAACCCGTCACGACCTTCTTCCCTGTCACACTCATCCCCACCATGACTGCCCAGGGTGGGACGCACCTCGCAGCACCACAGTCCCCAAATGCCCTGTTATGATGTCCCCATGGGGCACCATTGGTCCCCAGATGTGTTGCCCACCCTGGAGATCAAACCTACACTGGCCGGGGGTGCATCTCAGGCACACAAAGGGGCTCAAGCCCATGGGGATAAGAGGGGCTTAGAGCTGGCGGGGGGTGGAATTGGGAGATAAGAGGAGATCAGAGCTGGGGGGGAGGTGGGGGATGAGCGGGGCTCAGAGCCACAGGGTGGAGAGGTGAGGCTTGGACTCACATTGTGGCTTAGATCAGTGCGAGATGGGGGGGAAAGGGGACTCAGACCCTTTTGAGCGGGACTCGGGCGTATTAGTGAGGTTCAGACCCATGGCTAGGAGTGGAGATGGGGCTGGTATCAAACCCATAGAGGGGCTCAGACCCATGGGAGGGGCTCAAAATCACAAAGAGGCCCAGATCCATATGGGATGGGGGTCAAACCCACAGAGGGGCTCAGTCCCACAGGAGGTTGACTCCAGCCCATAGACTGGCTCAGACCTGCACTGAGGGAATAATGTCAAACCCATAGAGGGGTTCAGAGCCATATGGGGGAGGGAGGTCAAACTCACAGAGGCACTCAGACCTATATAGAGAGATCAAACCCAAAGAGGGGCTCAGACTCATATTGGCGGGTGTCAGACCCATAGATTGGCTCAGACTCATATGGAGGGGTTCAAACCCATAGAGGGGCTCAGACCCATTTGAGGGGAGGTTCAAAACCACATAGGGGCTCAGACTCATGTTGGGGGGAGTGTCAGACCCATAGAGTGACTCAGACCCATATGGGAGGGATTAAACCTACAGAGGGGCAAGGGCAGCTCGGACACACAGGGACGCTCAGACCCACAAAGGGGGGGTTCTCCCACATAAGGTGCCAACCCCCGCACTCCCCCGTACCCACCGTCGAGG